CATATAAATTGGGGATTACCTGTTTATTCACATATGTGCCTACAAATATATAGCAGTAAAGACGGAGAAGTGTGATCTTGTTATTGCTGTTATTTTTATTACTGTTATTATTAGATTTATTTAAAGACCTGAGTTTTAAAATATGGCAAACCATCTTAACTTTTATTACTGAATTAATTCACTTCCTCCTTGTTATAATTGGATATTTCCAATTTCATGTTATAGAGACACTTATGACAATGAAGACAATTTCAACTTTTCCCTGAGTGTTAGAGGAACCACTTTTTGAGTATTGAGTATTTCATATTTTACATTTATGGGAACTATTGAAATACTCTCAACTGCCAGTTGGCAGAATGTATGTCATTCTGGTTATCAGTGCACAAAAAGATGGCTGACCTTATTCCCATTGTGATCATTCATTCAAATTGATATATCACCTGCACTTCTTACATTTAGTGTGAAATTAATCAGAATTGGTCTGACATTATTTGTGAATATATTTCAGAAAATAGGAAACTCTTTACTTTTTTTCTGACAAAGTGCCAATCAGAAAAGAACATTTCTGAAAAAGTGCCAGTGAAGACCTTCTTGTTGGCATAGCATATATTGTTGGAAAAGTAGCCAAAGGTATATGTAATAGATGTTGTTTTTAAAATGCTTGCTTCAATTTAACTTGAAAACTTAGATTGATTCTTTATCTCTGTCCTTTCCCTGTAGTATGATTTTTAACTTTTGGTATGACATTAGAACCATATTTCCCTTCAGAGGTGTACACTTGTAATTCTATACATGCATAATAGATACATTTTACATATAGTTATTTGAGGACCCAAGATTTATTTTTTTAATTTGAAGCTAAATTCAAGTAAAAATCTGTGAATCTTTGAGTAGGATCAGGCCAAATGGATCACTCAGTGTATATTTTGATAGAACTTAATTCATATCTCATTTGTGGTACTGTAGTGATTATACTTTTCTCTTCTGTACTAGATAGTGAGTTCTTTTTCTTTACTTGAATACCAAATGCACAGCACATGATTGTACCTATATATGTTGCATTAGGAATTGCTTAAATAATTGAATGACTTTAACTGGGCCATATAATTCCATGAGAATAAGTGCCATTTCTGTTTTTTACTTGCTGTTATGTGTTCAGCTCCTAGCAATGCCTAACACATAGGTGAGACTTAGTAAATATTTATAAATATTGAATGACTTAGTTCTGTTCATTGGAAGTGACTGGCTTATGGAACTCTGCTGAGATTTCATGACATAATATAAAGTATTCTTTACCAATATAATCTTGGATGAAAAAACTTGGTAGCCATTTCTGACTATTTAGATCTTGTATCTTAGTTACATTTTTTGTATTACTATCCCTAATTTCCCTACCTGTCCTATGATCCACCACTCCATGTCTTTATTCCGTATACTCACTACCATTTTCATATTCCCTGAGCTCTCAACCCCAAGTCTCCTGTGTTTGCTTCTTTCATATGTTTTTGATCATGCAATATTTAGTTCTGTGTGCCTCAAATATTGGTCATGTTTCCCGTCATGTTGATATAGTACTAATCTATCACCCACTGGCTCTGGAAGGAGCTATTGCTCTAGAGGAGAAGAAGCAATACCTGAGACAAAACATTATAATGATGCAATTTAAATAGTAACATGAAGGAGAAAATATTAGGAAAGTACAGGTGAGTTCTTCACTCTTTCCTGTGCCTGGATTGTTTCTCTCCCATGCCTTTTCTTCTCCCCAGTAACTAATAATACTCTGCTTATCTTTTAAGATATAGCTCAAGTCTTCCCTCTACATTAAGTTTTTCTAAATGTTTGCTGTTTGATATTCTTCATACACTCTCCTGCCCCAATATGCCTTCCATTTTTGTATTTGTGGCACTCTTTTACTGACTGATTTTTTTACTTTAGACTGAATGCCTATAGGGTAGGAACCATGTGTTTTCCACTTTTGTGCTTTCACACAGTTCATTATATGATGTAGGTTTGTTGAATGGAAATACTTGAATTTACTTCATCGTGACATTTCCTCTACTTTCCCCTCCTCTCACACTTCATTTCCACTCAAGGATCTCAATGTCATTTCTTGTACCATTCCTTACATTTATGTTGTGGTTGGTTGTCATGGAAACCATTGTGTGGTTGAAAAGTTGCTCTTCTATTTAACTTCTCTCTTTTTAATTCAAAATGAGGAACTGATGGGTCAATGAGAAGAACTATTTGTGTTCTAGTCAGAGAGGCGTTTGCTTCATTGTAAAAATTCACTTACCGTTAACTCATTTCTTGTTTTCAGAAAAAATGTTTTCTATTCATTGGAGTATCCAAATCTTTGTTCCTGTCCATTTTCTTCTGGGTTCAAAAGAAATGACTCTGAAATCATTATAAAATTTGCTTTTCAGGATAACTTCTATTATATTTAAAAATATTTTGTGTGTCTTAGTGACATGTGCTGAAGGGTCTAGAGATGCTGCTGCTTCTTACAAGAAAAAAAGAGAGAGCTAACCAGATGGTACAGGTTAAAATTAATGTGCATTTACTATTTAACAATGTCCTTACAGTGCACACCCTGAACATATGCACATTGAAAATGTAAAATATTGCCTTTATTTCCTAAAATTCTATAGGGCTAATAGTTCTGAAACAGCTATAAAAAGTCTCTTATAGCACATTCTTAAAAGTGATATTAACAAGTTCAGTAATAATACATGACTTCTCATCCTGAAAGATATGCTTTTCCAGTTTACACTGATTGCAGGAATTGATGTAAGTGACAGAGCCACATCACACTATGACATTGGGGATGGCTCTAGACCTGGCATAGGTACAGGGCCACCATTTAGGATGAGGACTAAATATCATATGGGATTAAAAGCAAAGGCTTTGAAGCTGGGTGTGGCAGCTCACACCTGTGGTCCTAGCTGCTCTAGAGGTGGAGATTGGAAAGATCTGGGTTCAAGGACAGCCCCAGGCAAAAAGTTCATGAAACACCATCTCAACAGTAAAAAGCTGGGCATGATGGTGCCTGTCATTCCAGCCAGGCAGCAAGCATAAATACAGGACTCAGACCCCCAAAATAACCAAATCAAAAAGGGCTGGGAGCATGCCTCAAATAGTAGAGCCCTTGCTTTGCAAGTGCAAGGCCCTGAGTTAAAACACAAGTACCACCATTTTAAAAAAAAAAAAATTAGAAACAATGACTTTGACATAATTACATTTAGGTTCATGATTTTAAAAAGCAGATCTAGATTTAAATTCCAGTTTTGCCATTACCAAGTATTATGACATTGACAGTAAGCCTTTATAGGACTTTGTTTCCTCATCTATAAATCAGGCATAAAAGCATTATGAATTTTATCAGTTTGGGATAAGAATCAGATAAGATAATAGAGTAAAGTGTATAATTTTTACAGCTAAGGAGAGGTGTTCATTCTTAGTTAAGAAGCCAGTGAAAGACTCAGGTGTCAGAAAACTGAGTTTCAGCTCTGTTCTGTGCTATCTAGGTAGGAAATCTCTTTATCAGTCTGTCTCATTTTTTTATTCTGTAAAACTAGAGCATATTCAGTCTGATCTGTCTACTTCACAGGGATTTAAGAACAGCTAAGCTAACAAATGAGAGGGAAAATATCTTTGAACCATTTAAATGAAAGGTGCCACAAAAATCAAATAGAGTTCTGTAGACATTCTAAAGTCAATTTAAACCCAATCTGACATAAATTCATTATAACAGTATAGGCCTTTGTGTCTTTATATATTGTGATAACCTAAGGGTATTGAAATCTTCTGTTGATGTGACAAGTGTCCAGAGCACTGCTTATCCAAACAGCAGAAATTGCATTGAGAAAATACCTTCCCTAAGCTCTCAGCTTCCGTTGATCTTATTTAGGAAGCAAAAGTCTGGTGCTGTTCTTAAAAGACATATTTCCTGTGACAAAGAGTTACAAAATGTGCTTCTGAGGGTAACTGTCATATTTCAAAATACATGCTCCAGGAATTGAAGTAAGAAAATCTTAAGTGTATAAGAATTTAAAGTTAAATATGTGAAATACAGGAAATTGAACATGGAAGTCAGTAGTAGACTCCCAGAATATTAAACTTCTACAGGCCTCAGAGAAAACTTAATCCTTTTTGTCATTCATGAATTATTGATATCTAAAAAAAAAGCAAAGTGTTTTGAAAAGTAAATATTCAACATGGATTTTTGTCACAGATAATATATTGATTTTTTTTTGTACTAAAATAAAACAATATAGTTAGCTAGCCAACTGGTAAGTCTGAGAGATCCAAAAATAAAAATCTAGTTATTTTGTGTGAGGTTATGCAATCTCAAAATTTAAACATCAGCTGACTCAAAATATAATTTAGAAGCTGAAATAAACTCTTAGGTGCTGACAATGCCCATAAAAAAGCTTTCAATTTTTAGATTATGAGTCTATAATATGCAATTGTGAAAACAGGTTAAGATGGAGGAAAAACACAAAAATGTTTGACATGACCATGTAGCAATTCAACAGGCTGACCAAGAATGCTAAAATCAGATATCTAAATTGGAGTCTTAAATTTATCTGAGTGACTGGATTCCTAAATTAATTTAATCAGAAAAGAACTGCAGAAAAGTGAAAAAGAATTATTTTCTAATGTGAAGCTTGCAGTTGCTCAAATTTTCTTAGTGATTATTTCAAACTTTAATATTGCTTCACCATAAACATGGAATTCCAAGAATTTGAATACTGTATCCTGGTTCAGGAAGCCTATACTTTTGAAGTCCTATCTCAGTGTATAATTTTAATTTCTTTTTCCAGAAAAGCTAATGACATTTATATCATGTATTCTTTGCAGAAACATTGTCCAGACACTTATTAAAATTGTTCTGTAAAAAGTACAACATAGATTTTTTGCAAAACTAGATATGAAAGTCTGTGTGTTTGGATATTTTTCATGCAATATCAAAGTGGTAAACATAATTTTTCTTCTTCTAGGAATGTTCTGAAATATATAACTTTCATAATGTATTACCTGAAGGCAGAAACTTGAGTTTCCTCATTCCCCTGGTTTCAAATAATGGAAATTACACATGTGTTGTTACATATCCAGAAAATGGACATACCTTTCATCTTACCAGGACTCTAAGTGTAAAGGTGGTGGGTAAGCATGACTTCTCTGTCATTCACATATGCTAGTACACAAAGACAACAATCTTGTTCTGACTCTCTTTGTTTTTTGGAGGTATGGAGGTTTGAACTCAGGACCTTGGACTTGCTAGGCAGGTGCTCTATCACTAGAGCCATGCCTCTAGCACTTGTTCTGACTCTTAATAGTTTATTATACGCAAGCATGTAAACCTTATTGAAAAACAGATATTTTTTGTTTATTGCTTTATCCCCACGGCCTGTAGCAGTTCCTCATACATAGTAAGCACTCAATAACTATTGGCTGATTGAATGAGTATGAATAAGTGAAGTAAAGTATGTCAGAGAATGATAAGAGTAACAGATCTGTGTTCAAATTATCTTATTTCCCCCTTATTAAGCCATATGACTTTGGTCAAAGTTATGGTCTCCTAATCTGTACAGTGAAACTGAGACTTTCTAACATTTAGAATAACTTAGAATAGTAGAAATAATTTATACAAATGGTAATGCAGTCATAGGCAAGACTCAATGAATGATGTTGGTAATAATGTCAAAAAAGAAAACCAGTAATTTCTCATACTATTGTATAGTTGGTGTATGAGTGGGCTTTTTCCCCTAAATCAAGGTTTAACAAACTATGACCCATAATCCACGTACACCCAAGAACTCTTTGTATATCCCTGATCTAAGAATGCTTTTAATTTCTAAAAGGCCATAAGAAAAAACAAGAAAGACCCTGTTTCCAAAAACAAAAGAAATCACAGAAGAAAGTGTATTAGTTGGAATAATACCTTTCTACATGCTGAAACTGCTGTAGGTATGTGCTAGCACTGTATAACCATCATTATGCATTGAGAGAACAGAGGCTGAGAAATAGGAAACTAGAAAGGAAAATGGTTAGAAAGAATTGAGCCTCCTACCAAACCCATAAATCAAGAGAACTAACATCAGGATAAGTGCCTATAATGTTTAATATGATAACATATGGGAGTGATATTTTTCCATACTCCTTCTTTTACTAGATGAAAACATTGAATGCCAAAAACAGGAAACAACCTGTTTAGAGAGACTCCAGGAGTTTCTAGAAGGAGTAATTCTGAATCCCAGGTCTCTATTAGGGCTTTTTCTATTGGTCTGATGCCAGCTTCACTGTAAATCATATATTTAAAAATCCCAGTTTTAACAGTGCAAATAAAATCCAAATCAAACAAGTTTATAATCACTTCTCTTTCTCTGTTTACTTTTGCAAAAATGCTGAGTTGGCCATTAATTCAGGAAAAAAAGAAGAGTAAATTTGAAATCCAACATGAGTAGATTTTAGAAATCACATGAATTAATTATTTAAGCTTACATTCACCTCAACATTTGTTTCTAATGTATACACTTTAATGTATCCGTTTTTCAAAAGTTGTGAGCAGGTAGGTGTTCTTGATCACCCTGATTTGTAGATATAAAACTTGATGGACACAAACATGGGAGTAAGAGTAGCTCTTGACTAACTGTCAAGCAATACAAGTTCAATTTTTAAAGCTGCAAAACATTGAATATTTATTATATAATCACTGGTGGATGCCTTAATATATATTACCTCATTTTATTCTTCATAACAGAACTATAAGGCAAGTTTTATACATCTTGATTTTAGAGTTAAGAAAATTTGTTTTTCAAAGATTAAATAATACTTGGGTTCATAGGGTTCGTATATTACAAAATCAAGATTAGTACCTGGTCAGGAAATCTTTAAAATCCATGCTCTTAAATACTACACTAAAAAGCTCTTTCAAGGTATTTTTCTTCCAGTTTAGGAGGATAGATTATGATAAAGACTGGCAATCTCATAAATGAATATTTAGCTGATAATTCAGGAAGATTTATGTGGTGGCCCTAAACTTGTTATTTAAAACTTTCTACTTATCTATGCATTCATTTAGTACTTATTTAACCAAGTCTCATGCTAGAAATTGTGAGCATTTTGAGGAGAAATGTTTAGATAATAATCATGACCAATAACCATATATTGTAATTGAAATATATACTTCTTCAGGCCATATTTTGAATTAAAATAAAAAAAATTTGGCATATAAAAATAGGAAATACATAAGGAAATAATTAAGATATAGAAGCAATTAATTACAATGTAGCATGAGAGGTCAAGCTGATATAAATTTGGAAGTCAAGAGCACTGGTTAAACAATCAAAAACAATCCCTGCCTGAAACATGAAGGGAACTCAATATGTTTTGTTTGTTTCTTTGCAAAGGAAAAACTGTTTTTCTGTGCTCACAACACTTCTGTCACCAAACGTGTGCATTTTCCACACCAAGCAATTCTCCAATTCTCTGCAGACACCATCTGTGTTTCCTATAATTTAATTCAATTGGATACTAACTACCTCAAGTTAGCACAGACCCCACACATTAAGGGCTCAATTCCACAAGACTGATCCCCCTCCTCTCCCCCAGTTTACATGCCAGTTGAAGTGGTGGGTCCCCAGGTTACTCAAACTCCTGTCCCTTTCTTACAAATCCAGGGTTCCTATACCCTCCTCCTCAGGTCCTACGATTTCCTATAGTGACTCACAAATCTCAGGGAATCACTTTACTTATATTACTTCATTACAGTGAACTCAAATGTACAGCCACATAGTTACATAGAGCAGGTAGATGATGTGCTCAGCAGCCTAAAAGCTCTCCAGCTCTCACTCTTTAGGGTTTTATGGAAGTTCAATCACACAGGCATGACTGATTAAACCATTGGTCATTAGTGATTAATTCAATCGCAATCCCTTTCTTCCCCTCCCTTGGAGGAGAGGGATTGGGGCTGATAATTTCAGCCCTTTAATCTTGAGTTGGTCTTTCTGAAAGCTATGGACACTCACTCTGACCTTGTCTAGAGTACCCACAACCACCATTCATCTCAGTAGCATAAAAAAAAAAAAAACCAAATTCCTCACTTTAGAGATTCCTAGGGTCTTAGAAACTTTTGGGTCAGGAACTGGGAACTAAGATAAAAAGATTGTCATATTATCCTTAACACTCAGGAAATTAAAAGGGTTTTAGGAGCTCTGTGTCAGGAACCAGTAACAATCAGTAACTGAGACCAAGTAGATGTTTCCTATTATGTCACACTTTGCTTGTTTTAAATGAAGTGCAGTAAATGAGTATATGTTCGACTACAGACACTCAAGAACTGACAAACAATGCTAGCAAGTTTGGCAAGGCATCCCAGGAGACATTTGAATAAAGCAAATTATTTAACATCATTTCTTTTTTATTTTTGGTCACAGGTTCTCCAAAAGATGCAATACCACCCCAGATCTATTCACCCAATGATCGTGTGGTCTATGAGAAAGAACCAGGTAATTATAGCTCAGCCTCTGAATTACAGTTAGATTCTCTTAATTACAAGAAATAAAGTGTCACTTAAGTTAACACAAAACAGTAAAGAGCTATTGTAAAGGAGTACATGAATGTAAACTAAAATGTTTTCAGATACCAAGGCATCTGGGGACCAACTGCTTCATCAGTTTCAGGGCAGCTCAGGGATTCTCTACTTCTCTCCAGAGTCTGCTCCCATTTTCTTCTGCTAGCAGTCTTATCTGCTTATTAGTGATTTCTGTTTGATGAAAACTTGATTTTGCATAGGGATTTTGTTTGTTGAAGCTACGTCATGAGAACACGACATCCTTTAAGCTTTTGCTCTGCTATGAAAGCTCAGAGGGTGGAGCAGGACCGTGAGTATTACAGATTAAAATGACAGCTGTACTAAACCTGGATTCAGAACACTATCAAATGTTTGCTATGCCACTTTGGGTCTCCTATTTTCATAATTTTGTCATTCTAGAGAGATCGTTATGACTGATCAAATAAGAGATAATTCTTTTGACTCAAAGCTTCCCACAGTTAAGTTAATAGAAAACTGTAGAAAATTTTAACATTTTCTAATTATATCCTTTACAATAAAGTCATCCAAGACCCAATGAGAGATATAAAAGAACATTTGTTTTAAAATGAACTAAAAACAATGGAGTCTTTGATCAACATAGGTGAAGAACAATATGAAGAAGAAAACATTTAGATTATCTTTCAAATATGATTTGACTTGTAAAAAGTAGAGAACATAATAAAGGGACCTCCCAACCTCAAATGAGCTGAATTTCCTAGAATTAGCTCTGGTTTTAGATAGTAATATGAACATTCTTCTGTCAGAGTAAATTCTAATTAATCACATAAATATTTTTTATCTACTTACTGTATCATGCTTCAAGAACAATCCTGAATTCATGTTCACTTTATCATCCTAAGTGAAATATTGATATAAAAACTAGAGGGAAAAAGGCATAAGAGCCACAAACTGGAGTGGATAGTAGACCATAACCACTGGTCAGATGAACCTAAGTTCAAATTAGAGTGCCAGTGTAATTTATCCTCCAAACTAAACACTTGAGCATAAAAGCAGTCAATATCAATAGCTAACCAGGAAAACAGGCATGAAATAAAACTGTTCTGAGCAAACTGGTATAACAGATCCAGTCTAGTTCAAATTCTCGCCTACTAATTAACAGCTTGACCTAAAAGTGTCCTTTAACACCCATGAATTTTTCCCTCTGTAAAACATGGGTTTAAGATGTGCCTCATAATGTTTGTCTAAGAATAAATAAGAACAGGGAAAAAATTTTAATAGGTTAAATAAAAACATTAATGTACCAGTATCAATATTTATAACAGTCACTTGTACCAAGTTCTCAGTGAGTGCATTGCACCTATTATCACTGATGTCCCTGCAGGGCATCTCCCTGACCTCATGTTCTAGCTCAGAAATACAGCTTAGAATTGGTATTTTGAAATTGTTATTGAATGCACCCGAAGAGCTTGAACGTTTCAGTATGAAGACTCCTTGTGCAGTTCTCTGAGCAATAGTGTCACTCCATCTTCTACGACAAGGACACAAGAACTGGGGAACAATTTCCTTTGCTTATGAGAGAAATAACAATTGGGAGGAGTGATCTGTGGAGTTTTAGGGCTAAAATGGTTGTCAGAGCTTTTTTAAACAAATTCTGCCATTTTAGAGCATATTGAGATTGTATTTAAAAAATGGCCATTCTGGTAATTTCATATTAGGTCGCTGGCCTTCTTTTCTTGCTTTTGTATTTTTTGTTTATCTGTATGTTTGATTTTGGAATGAATTATAGTTCATTACCTTATGATACTCCTTTAGAGAATTAGTGTAATATAATCACGTGAAAGTTATAAGTTGATGGGTTATCATGAGTTTTAACTTGTTTTTTTTCTTAATTATTTTTAGGAGAGGAGCTACTCATCCCCTGTAAAGTCTATTTTAGTTTCATAATGGACTCCCACAATGAGATTTGGTGGACCATTGATGGGAAAAAGCCTGATGACATCCCTATTGACATAACCATTAATGAAAGGTATCATGTGAGCATGAAAGGGATGAGTAATTGCTGTCTCTCAGTCTAAGGCCCTTTGATGTACACTAATCAATGAACATAAAATTCCCTTTTTTGCCTGAAAATTAGCAAGATTTTCAAATCTTTGAAGGCTGCATCCCAAAGCGGGGTCATAGAGAAGGGCCGCATGTTGCCCACAACTGTTAAAGGATTGAATGACAATGTCCTGAGGCTGGGCAGCTTCACCAGGTTTCCCACATGGCTCCTGGACTATGTGTTTATGTATTGGTGCTTCGGGTAATTATGTTTAGTTTTCACTTTATAGTAAGCACATATTTCCTATCTTCCTCTTTCTGAAGTACTTGATAACTATTTTTTAAATATTGATTAAATACATTTATGTTCTTTTAACTTTATTTTTTAAGTAAATGGGTAATAATACCACTCACTCTTAAAATAATAACCCAGCTCATTTTATTCTTAAATAAAACTGATTTTTAAGGATAGTGACAAAAGGGAAAGTATGGGCCTTTGAACACAGAAAATTTACCTGTAAATGAAACATAAATTGCCAAAGAGCAATTCGTTCAACAAATCAATCAACTATGTGACAAAATAGTTCTAAGACTTTTATCATAGACTTGAAGCTACTTACTTGAGTCTCCATATTTCAAAAGCTATTTCTTTTCTAAGTTCAGGTTTTTTGCAGAAATTACAAAATGTCTACTTTGCATCAGGTTCTTACCCTCAAGAGGTAGATTCTGTAGAGGCAATAATAATAGAGTAGACATGTAAATATAATGTGATAAATACAGTGAATGGGAAGGATTGGATGTTGCAGGAGGAATTAATAGGGGATTCTAGCAGTTTTGGGAGATTAAGCAATGCTTCTCAGATGGCATAGCATCAAAATCAAAATGTGAAGGATGAGTAGAAATAAGATAGATTATAAAATGGAAAGATTGTTCCAGATGAAAGGAATATGATGTGCAAAGGCCTAGAGATTAGAGAAGCAGAGTATATTGAAAAGCACAAAAGATGCATCCTGAAACGGAATTATTTTTTTTACAGAAGAAATTGCTGAAAAATGTGGCTGGAAACTACAAGGAGAGTTTTTGATCATTTCGGGAATTCCAAACATTCCCATCTTCATAATAATAATGAATGAATAAATGTTCCTTGTTGTAATTGAGACATAATCTCAGTGTTCAGGAGAGCAGGGGAGTTAAACTCAGGCTAAGTCAATCAAGCCCTTTCACCCAATTTTTATGACTGACAGTAAGCCTAATCCAAAGGACAATGTGGATGACAGTCAGCTGTAGGAAAGGTATATATTTTTTTCCTCTTTGAGCAAAGTAGTTCAAATGGTGTTAAACCTTGATGTTAGACCCAAAGCACTTGATTTTTGTCTCACTGTGACTTGGGCATATTTATTTTCACAAAGTTTTCTTACTTTGAGCAGTTTCTTCTCTTTATATGTTAGATTTAACTATGAGATTTCAGCATTTTGACCAAACTATTCTACCTATGTTCAGAATCCAAGTTTTGGAATCACTCTACTGCAGCAACTATTACTGTGGGATAGTAATACTAGTGAACATTTACCACGCATCGTTCTACTATTTGTGCATTACAGTATTCAGTCCTCAGAATATTTCAGTAAATTAACCTAATGTGTATAGCAGTAAATGGTAAAACCTGAATTGAAATCAAATGGGCCTGCTCCCAGAAGATTCTTTTCGAACAGATTCAGCATCCTACCTCAGGGGTATGAGCAAAGGAGCCGTTTTGCTTTGAAGAGAGAGCGGAGTAAAAAGTCAACATTGGGATTTGAGCTGGCGTTAGGATAGTGCGCGGCATAGATGGAAAAAGCGAATACTGATACCTTGTTCTCCTTTTGTAACTGTGGCTTCTCAACATTCTGTCTGCCCTGGCCTAGGGCCCTGTGTTTGCTCACTTGTCTGATTTGCACGTAGTGCGTGGCCCGCGAGTCTCACAAATGCTGTGATTTTCTTTTCCCCATGTTTAGTGTAAGTTATTCTAAAACGGAAGATGAAACAAGAGTTCAGATTTTGAGCATCAAGAAAGTTACCCTCGAGGATCTCAGGCGCAACTATGTCTGTCATGCTAGAAATGCTAAAGGAGAAGTTGACAAAGCGGCCAAGGTGAAACAGAAAGGTAATGGATGTGCTCAGCGGATGAATCTGTGAGCGCCAAATGTAACATGGTGGTGAATAAGAGAAAGAGAGAGATGGAGGAGAGAGCTCCTGCGTCTAGCACAGCCTCTGACTCAGTAATGAATCAAAGTTAAATGAAGAATCTTAGAAGATTTCCATTTATGTGAACATCCTCATAATATTATTGCTGATAGTATTATTACCTTTGTGCTCAACTGTTGCTAAAAGTTCAGTAGGATTGTAATAATGAAGCACCGTTTTTATCTGTATGATCATTAAAAATGAAAAGATAATATTCAAAGCTACAGAAAATATAGTAAGGCTGATAGTCACATAAAGAGTGCATTATAAAGACACTTTCAGAAAGTTCTGATGGCAGAGTTCAGAAGTCATGAAAATGACCATACCATATGACCTAATACTTTTGGAATTTTTCCAGAAGATTTATGTGTGTATCATCAGTAGTCTTAGAAGTAGCTATACTAATGAAACATAAATAGCAACTGTCTAATTGTGCACATAGGTAAGCAAGGTAGAGAATATTGAATCTCAGAAAAAATGTAATTCTAAAGTTATAATTTTAAATGCTATTATCAGTTTTCAAGTAGTTTTATAATGTCCACAAGCCATAATTGCTAAAATAAAATTATTGAAAATATAATTTTAAATGATATCTATGTTAATATTACCATATTTTCTATAATGAATAAACTGAAAAAAACATTGTTGTGTGAGCTGTTGCTCCTGAAGCAGATGATCTGAAGTCCTCTGTGTGTCTCTCGGCTGAAACAGAATCTCAGTCTCTACTACAATGTTTTTCAGTGGTTTTGAGAAAAGAAACAATGACATCTCACAGGCAGTCAGGTCATTCAGAAATTTCCTGGATACTAGTATTTGATAGAGCTTTCATATTTATATCAAAAGTGAAAAAACCAGCTTATAATTGTTATGTTTCAACGGGGCCTGATCTCTTTTGTAAAGGTGATAGACAATCAGGAAGTGCTGGAACATGTTATTACAAATGAGAAAGACAGGAGTGTGGCCTGAAGTGTCTATGGCTCTTATGGAGTGTGAGTGGATTTGTTCAGGATAACTTTGCTCGTCAGAAGCCACTGTAAAGCCTGAAGTACATACTGTAGGTAGCTTCTCAGTGTTAGTTCCTAAAAGCACTGCTAAGAATCATTATGACACTGCAGTGCATTATTTGTACTCTAGAGTTGGTTTGTTGACACCCTGGTTTCTTTGCATCCTAACTGTGATTTTGAAAAAGTCATGGATTCTCTCTGAGACTCAATTTCTTTTATCTTTAAAATAGGCAGCAATAATACTAATACCTTGTTGGGTTACTTAAAAGTGTTCAGAAAAGGTACTGGCATAAATTCATCTTATGCCAAATGCTGAATAAATGTTAGTTCTCACTGTTTGAACAAGGTTTTAATAGGTATTATTTGACAAAGACTTCTATAGTCAAATAAATATCATTACAGTCTAGGTTAAACAAAATCAATAAAATTAATTTAGTTCAGGACCTTAAAGCGTTAAACAATATAAGATTTCATATGAGTATTTTCAGAGGGTTGAATTATTAGACAGAGTATTTTCAAATATACCTGACTCTTAATTTCTTAAATGTGGAACATTTTGTGGGGTTCTTCTGAGGCATGTATTCTGGTGATCAGTTATGGTGAATGACATAAATTAGTGACTTATTGTCAAAGGATAGGCTCAAAACATCCAAGTGAAATAACATTTTATGAAGGAATGAAACACAAGTCTGAGCCATGTGAGTAGTTACCTTAGAACAAAGCCTCTGCTCTGAAATCAGTGCGGGCAGCACTAAGACGGGAAGGGCACTGGGACTCACTGAGCAGATGGTCTGTCCTCAAGGATGGTCAGATAATAATCTAGTCAGATCTGTGTATGTCCAGTGGGACCAGAGGAGCTGTGAATTTGTTTATTTAGCTTCTGTTTTGAGCCAGCTAATACTGAAGTTTAGAGGTGATATCTGAGCTCAAATTCATGCAATATGTGCGTAAGTCCTTCTCTAAATTCATCAACAAAACTTTCTATGTACTTCATCAAAAAAATTACAGGAAGGACTGGTGGTGTGGCTCAAGTGGTAGAGTGCTTTTCTAGTATGCACAAGGCCCTGGGTTTAATGCCCAACACTGCAAAAATAAATAAAAAGTAAGATAAAATAATGGTGATTTTATTTTAAAAAAAACACAGGAAGATGCTAAGATCTGGAATGAGACAAATTCACCAAAGTAAATTTTATTGACAACAGTATTTCATCCAGTCAGGAAAAGCAAAGTATTAAATAAGAAGGAGCTAATGTGAACATGTGAAATATGCAGTGAAATAGGAGAGTGGCTGGGAATAGGGAGAGGTGTATGTTTAACTTTATAAGGAGCTGCCAAACCTGCTTCCCAGAAGGTTGTACCATTTTAAAATTTCACTGTCATTGTGCAGAAATTTCCAGTGCTGTCCTTCCTCACAAAGGAGTTAGCAAAAGTTAAAATTTTAGCCATACTAGAAAATACATAGTGGCATCACATTGTGTTTTTAACTTGCATTTCTCAGCCACTAATGAAGTTGGACATTTTTATGACCTTATCGATCATAGTTCTCTAATTGTCAGTCACTTACTTACTTTTTCTTCTTTTTTTTTTTTGTAATTGAACTCAGGGCACTGTACACTGTAGGAAAATGCTCCACCACTGAGCTACCTCCCCTTGGCTTTTTGAGACAGGGTCTCATTAGGTAGCCTAGGCTGGCCTTGAACTGAAGATCTTCTTTCCTTTCTGTCCTGAGTGCTGGGACTACAGATGTGTACCCCACCCCTGGCAGGTCATTTGTTTTTAATTTCATGTTTTATAAGGTACACACACAACTCTGATTGTTGTTCTTTGTCAACTATAAGATGTGTGAATATTTTCGCAGTTTATGAATTCATTTTTTGGAAATGCAGAAGTTTTTAAGATTTTGGAAGTTCATTTTATCAGTTTCTTCTTTTCTGGTTCATTCTTTCCATATCCTACATTACCAATCTTTGCCTGCTTTCCATAGACTGTCACTCATCTTTGCCTGTGTTCAATTAGAAAGGTCTACTGGTGTTTTATTACAATTTCCTCTTATAGTCAGACCTATAATGTATTTCAAGTTATTTTTATGGTGTGAGATATGGCTTAAAGTTTGATATTTTGCTTTATTTTTCCAGACAGCCAGTTATTGCAGCATCATATTGAAAAGATATTTCACTCTTCCCTTGAAAACTTTCTGAAAAAACCAGTTGTCTCTATGAACTGATCTGTTTCTGCCGTCCCTACTTTGTTATGTTAACCTGTTTGCCTATCTTTAGTAAGATATTGCTTTATTTTAACATAGTTTTAAAGTAAGTTATGAAATTAAATACTATATGACCTCTTCCTCTTTTTCCAAGATGATTTGATTCTTCTAGAGAACATAAATTTTTATATAGCTTTTTTTTTTTTTTCATTTTTCTTTTATTATTCATATGTGCATACAAGGCTTGGTTTATTTCTCCCCCCTGCCCCCACCCCCTCCCTTACCACCCAATTCACCCCCTCCCGCTCCCCCCCTCAATACCCAGCAGAAACTATTTTGCCCTTATCTCTAATTTTGTTGTAGAGAGAGTATAAGCAATAATAGGAAGTTTATATAGCTTTTAATATCAGTTTGTGTCTGTGTTCAATTTATAAGTCAACTTGTGGAGAACTGAAGATTTAACAATATGCATTCACATCAACGAAGATGATATGTCTCTACATTTATTTGTGTTTTTATTAATTTTTCAGCAATTTTTAAAAAGATTTGAGTGTATAGGTCTTAAATGCGTATTATCAAATTTACTACTAAATATTTAATTTTCATTCTATTGAAATATTTTTAAATTTCACTTTCTAGTTGCTCACTAATAAACAAAAATGTGTAATTAATTGATTTTAATATGTTGATCTTGATATTTTGACCTTCCCAAATTCACTAATTAAATAGTATTTTTATTTGTTTTCCTTTTTGGATTCCTATGAATTTTCTATACACTTAAACTTGTTACCCATAAATAAATAGATCTGTACTTCTTCCTTTCCAAACTTTACACCTTTGATTATTTTTACTGTCTGTTTCTCTCTTTGGGGCTTCCAGTGCAATGATGGAAGTTACAAAAACAGCCATCTTTGAATTATTCCCAAATGTTCCCAAATATCCTGTTTTTATTATATGTAATGTTATTTGTAGGTTTTTCTGTAAATGACCTCTCTCTGCATTAGGCACTAACTTTCTGGTTTTGATTTGCTGAGACTTCCTCCTTCCTTCCCTCCTCTCCCTCCTTCCTTCTTTTTTTTTCCTTTCTTCCTTCCTTGTATAAGTGGGTTGAGTTTTGTTAAATCCTTACCTCTACCTATTGAGCAGTTCTTCAGATTTTTATTTTTCTGATCCATCAATGTGACATTTTATAGTGATTGATTTTGAAATGATCATCCGGTCTTGCATTCTTAGAATAAAACTCCAATAAATCAAGAATTTATTGACTTTTTATGTATACTTGATTTGCTGTACTTGATTTGCTATTGTTTTGTGTTAAGATTTTTGCTCCTGTTAAGGATGTTGTGAGGGTTTTTGGCTTACAATTTTCTTGCTTATGTGTTTGACTAATGTTGGTTATGCTAGGTTCATGATATAAGTTGGACAATGGTCCCTCTTCTGCTCTTATCTGAAAGCCAGGGTGTAAAATTAGTTTTATTTCTGCTTCAGATTTTAAAAGTTTACTCGTTTAGCTCTTTGGGCCTGGTGTTTTCTTTTTGAAAAGTTTTAATTATCAATTCAGTTTTTTAGAAGTGATTCAGATTTTGTTTTTTCTTGTGACAGTTTGGAAATTTCTCTGTTGAGGATTTTTTTTTTCTGATTCATCTAAGTTGTTACATTATTGTTGTTATCTTTTTTCTTGCATCATTTCTTTATTATTCTTTTAATGTCTGC